AAGAACAGTTTAAAGAACAGCCAAAGTCTGTTGAAAACTGTTCTATTCCGTTTTTTGGGCTCATAAACGGCTCTATTCTGTTCCAAACTGTTTCCTCCTCATTCACGAACTGTTCTGTTCCATGGAATGGAATAGAACAGGAATAGAACAGTTTAACTGGAATAGAGACATCACTAGATGAGTAAAACTCTTACCAACCTAAAGTTGGAGTCATATCAACCTAAAGCAGAAGGAACCATGGATGTTGCGTGATTCGGATGGAGACTTACGAATGGACAGTAGACTGATTCCACTTTATCATTGGTTCACCCCAAAGGAATGCGATCCAATAATGGCACAAAATAGGGTATATCTATCATGCTCAGCAAGCATGCATGCATTGAAAAATGAAATTGCTCGATAGATATCAAAGTATACTCAGTAGTGTACTCATTTAAACTTGATTAGTGGAACGTGGAAAAATATTGTTTCATTCCCACTAAAACTACTGGGATATCCCAGTAAAAGTTGCGCTCTTTGTGGAAAAACAAAAAAGTTAAGGCCACATTCCCCTCTTGTTAACAAAATCCTACGTTGTATCCAAATGCTTCTGTGATTCAAATTTATTGGTGCCAAAGCTGGACAAGATTGCTGTTAAGCTCTTCTTTTATTCGATTGTAAAATTACAACAATCCAGAGCAAATCTGCATGGTACATAAGAACACGAAAACAAAAACACCAAAAAACAGAAGCAGTGAATTTGAATGAAAAGAAAAGGAATTGCATTTCGAAATCTGTTTCATGCAGTGAAACAGAAAATAATTTTTGATCATTGGATGAAATTTAGAGCGAGCTTTAAAATCAACTTCCCAATTCCCGAGATTCTGAACTGCAGATTGAAGAATGAATGAAGACTATCTATATCACAGATTACTCGAACTTTTCAAAGATTATATTTATAATCTTCTGGATTCAATTGATACATACAAAGTGGTAAACAATACTGAATCATCATGACATCAATAAATAGCATTCAAACTATAAATATCAATAACAATCATAACAATAATAGTAATAATAATAATTAATAATGACAATAATACGCTCACATCAACATCAACAGGAATAATAACAATCATAACAAGTTATTTGACATTTCCAAACACAACAAATCTCCATATATGAACTTAAATTCCTCTCGAAATTAACATTTTATAACGATGTAATGAATACTAATGACTCAGCGAAATCGAATGTTGGAAGTATTCAATGAATCTGGTTTAGAAACTGATCATTTTGGGGCTAATTGTGAATCCAATTGCATCTTCAACTTATGCTAATGGAGGAAAATGATTTTTGTAATGCAAAATGCCACTCAATACGAATTCAATTGCACTCATAAAAGGCTTCAAAGTGATTCCAAGGACTTGTGACTGTAGAGTTTGGATGACTAATGTGCTTTTTTAACTTTTCTGACTTCAGCTTTCGGTTTTACTGCAGTGCCCGCAGCCGGTTTTCGCTCTCTCTTCTTCAAATTATCCATATTCGATTTAAGCACCGCAGCATAGGCAAGTTGGAATTTGTTCACTTCTTTTGGATGGACCTGAATTTACGTTTAATGAATACAAAATAACATTTAGTTGACTGTTTCATCAGAATGGCTACTTGTAAATTCGAAGCTGGGAGGAAAAACCGTATGTCAGTTAAGGATTCTACAAAATAAACGAGTGATCAACTGAACACGAGACGATCTGATCAACGAATGCTATCATTCACTATCATATGAGCTCACGCTCGTGATAATTTAACACTGCTAATAATTTTGTGGTAGAATTCTTGCACTTTTCACTAATTCACCTCATTTATCCATCACTGATTCAAACTCATTTATCAAATAAGGAAGGTTCCGTGCTAATCATGCCTTCATAGAGGCAACAGATTCCATGCTGATCATTCAAAATGACGGCANCAAGGTGAATATTTTTTGGGCGGATTGTAAATTCAATCAAAGTTTCAAATCCAATTCACTTACCACAGTGCTGATTTTCTTGTCGCCTAATTTCGCCCTAAACAAACACAGATCTTCGGTTCCTTTCGGTGAGCGCATTGATACACCAGATTTTGGATGCGGTTTAGTACGGCCATCATCTGCAATTCAATCAGTCGTTTAGATCGTTGAGTATGAACTTGGACCTTACATTAAATTATAAACACCATCCAAGCCGAATTACTTGAATTAAACTTAGCGCTCAATGGCGTTTATTACGATGAAAAAAATGTAACAAGTTATTGGAGCACATGAACTGAAATGTCTAATAATTCATTGCGAAACTGGAACTCGTATTTTGCAGACAGAAAGGCAAACTGAAAAAACACAAAACGCACAATGTTTCAGGGTGATCGAAACAGCCTGAGGTCCACCAACCCTGGCTTTTTGGAATAACTTCGCCAATTCAACCAAAAAATTGTCATTCTCCAATAATGTCATTTTTCAGTAAAGACACCTGTAAATAACGTAAAATAATTTTTAAAAAATCAACTTCCAACAATACATCCATCCATCAACACATCTAACACCAACCAAACGATGAAGCGCTTCATAAAACACCTATTGATAGTAAAAGCAAAGCTTCCGTATGGAAAACATACAATATCAAATTATTCCACTAATACAGTTAATAAATTCTAGTTTCAATGCTGAAACTTCACTACAATAGGTAATTCTTCGGATGGTCAAACTCTTTCGAGGAATCATTCCCCTTATACACAATAAGGCAACCGAAAAAAACCTTTGCAGTCTGAATGCATTAAAATTCACACTGGGATGATACTGCCACAACGTAATACGCGCATGCGGTTGAATGAAATACATTGTGTGCTATTGCAATACAAATGACAACGCAATGTAAATGAATATTATCCATAGCCTTCTTCTTATATATTAAAGTGTTCTATCATGTGCTTATTAGAGCAGTTCAGTTTTTATACGTAATCGAATATTTCTAATAGATATTCATCAGAAAATCCCGGAATATTCTTTGGAATTTTTCTCAGATTCCCCATGGTTTCTTCTTATTTCGAATGAATTAAATGATTTGTGTGTTTTTGATATCTATCTAGAGAGTAGATCGTCGTTTTAAAATATTACTCGGTTTCAGACTATATCTGATGATGTCTCAGCAGCAAGAACAACAGCAGCACCAGCAATTGATAAAGTTGCCGTATGGCAACAAACGATCCGTAGATTTACTGAATAATCTGGACAGACGTAAATTCATTCAGTTGTCTCATCGAATATTCGACGCCATGCCAATNGAAACACATTCGCTGTTCACTGAAGATGAACGAAAAAAACTGATCTCAGCATTCGGCTTGGAGACCTCCACCGATCTGAACCAATTGGTCAGATTCTTTACACTTACTTCTAACGATAACTGATTCGTTTTCGAGCATTATTTTGCCGAAAATCTGTTCAAGAAGTGAAATTCTTAGTTCAATTTTCAAAAATTTCAGACTGATCTTTTGGTGATTTCAGATATCCACTTGTGTTGAGCTATGGCGACAGATTGCCTATCATCAGCCGAAACCCGAAACGTTGACGACGAATCTTCATGAGGTTCGTAAAGAATCCACATCTTTGTCGATGTTCGCCTTCAAGGAATTCTCAGCGATTCGATCGTGTTTTCTGTGGTTTTGAAGAAATCTCGATTCGTCCATTCAGATATTATCAACACTGTTGAACATTCATCTGATTCTCCTCAGTAATTCTCATACCTTGTACACAAAATAATTGCTGCCCTCTGATTTCAGTTGGGTTTTGTGAATGATCTCACTGATGTGTTCGTTCAAGTTTGGACGGATCGAGGTGGAGCCGTTTCAGATCGTCTTCGTGGAATCTCGTTTTCTGGTAGACCGCAGCTTATCGATGTGAATTGGACTCTACGAATGGATGTTGCAAGGTGATAGTCTTATGGCGAAATGTTCTCTGTAATGATTTTCAAAAGAAATAGCCAAAAATTTACCACATGTCAAAAATCATATTGAAAAATTGCAGTATTCAACATATATCAGTTACTAATATACTTATAATTTCAAAGATATCTGCATTTTCAGTTGCAGTAAGTTGAAGCAATTGATATAGTTGCCGTTTTGCGCCACATGAGCCGCTGATTCAAATGAGTCACACTATTAATATTTTTGAAATCATGTAATTTCAGTCGAGACTCACCAAAAATGCGTGAACCAAAGGTGGTTCTCGAGTTGCTCACAGATCAAGGTCCTAAGCTAGCTGAGATGTCTCCAAGCGAATTGGCCGAATTGTTCAAAACACTCCAGCAAGTACAAGAAAGCATCGATAATCTCATGCAATAAGCCGCCGCGAATGTTTTCAAATTCCTTGATAAGATCCTTGCATCATCTTGCGAACAGATTCTGTTATTGTACTGCTGTGATCATTCTTTTGAATTGTACGATATATTTAATTTATGTGACGAATTCTATTGTGTAATTGATCTGATTTTGCCGAACCTGTATTCATTTACGCTGATGTCCTCATGTGTCATTTTTGTACATAGAAATGTTTCTCCGAATAAAAATTTTCATACATTACTGTCGTTGTCTGCATCAAAGTGAACGAAAAGGTTGCCTTCAAAGTTATTAATCATTGAGAATTTTCACATTAACAATGCTGAAAGCTGCTGTGAGCAAACGAGGCTCGATCATTTCATATTAATAAAACAGCTCATTATATCGTTGTCGTAATTATGAAAGAGCACTTGGAGCACATCTTGAAATCAGTTGGAATCACAGTCTCAATCACCACAACCCAAAAAATCTCTCTTCTAGCTCAGTAATACAGATTCTGATGTTCTTGTCCTAATTTACTGATTCAGACATAATTTTACAAAACATTAGTATCATCTCAGTGATAGTATTTCACACACTCATTGTACATAGTGTTAAAAAAAGAAATCCTAGAAACACGCACTTCCAGATAACATTAGCACACCGTAAACATCTTCAGAAATACCACCTTAACTGAAACTGACTGAACCGAACGTTTCAAAACAACGCGTTAGAAAAAGCGGAAGCGTGCATTTGCAAAACCTGAACACTTGCAAACGTCTGATTCACTTGAAGATATCGCCTTCATTATTGCTAGCATCTGATCAACTTTAAAACAAAACCTCACCCTCCCAAATTAACCGAGATTCACATACCACCTAAAACTTTCTAAGCCTACAACTGATAGTGAATTAAATGCACATCTAACAATCACTTATTAAACCTATCACACAATCCAGCCTACAGGCTGATCTAAACATCCAAAAACGACGACACAGTTACTAGTACTGAGGATTGAATTCCTGAAGCCAAGGCGCATAACCGAGGATTCGAGTCTTCAGATACCGTGCAGGTCCGTAAATATTCATACTACAGAAAACTCATTATTACAAAAAGATCTGCAATAAATATACAAGTTCAAATGTTGTGAATCCGAATACAACAATGAAAGTGCAATCGAAATCGCCAAGTGCCTCATAGAATTAACCTCAAATGGAATATTCCTAAAAAAGTATTATGAAAAATTCATACATTATGCAGGAAATGAAGTAATTCAATTGAATATAAATGTTGCTTAACCAACAAATGAATATTGTATGTGTGTCTAAACCTGAGAAGGGGTCGATTGACCTCAAGCTTGAATTCCAAGGTTTTAGTTAGTTTCATTGGAGATCGTTTCCGTTGATCTTAAGGAGTAGATCGACTGAATATCCAGTTCAATGAGCGAGAAGACTTGTTCTATTATGAGCTCAAGCAGTCACACTAAAGCCGTTTCATTTTTAGGCAAAACTGTACCCTTTTGAATGAGAAACTTTCGATTTCAGACTAAATTCTACGGAATGGAGACTGAATTAGCAGGGGAAGCGACTAGGGAATGTGCTTTACACCCGAAAATCTTGGTAAGTGATGAAGAGCTGCTTGAGGCGGCTCGAAAAGGTTTAATCCACGCTGAACGAACCGATCATTTCACTACTCTCTTCGAGGATTATGCTCGTAATCAGTCAGGTATTCCCTAACAATATATTTTGAGAACATGAACATGGCTGTATTCACAGAAACTTCACATTCAATTAATTAATCACTCAAAATGAGCAAAATCGGTTATTCAAACTATTTTTCATTTGCACTATCACAGTGCAATCGAATTTTTGACAGATTACTTCATCGAATAATTTTTTGCTGTTTTTTCAACTCGATTCGTTTTTCCAATACACTCAGTCAAAGGAAACTGCCTTCGATAT